TGCATATGTATAAGAATATTATCTACGTTTATTTTTTTGTTTAATTATCATATGTGAATAATCGTGTTGGATTAGTAACATATTTTGCCTGTGAACAGGCCCTGGGAGATGTTGTCCTAAATCATAGATGTGCTCATAAACAGGTAAACTGTTGATTTCCTGTTTCGAAACTTCATGGTAGTCTGTTTATGACATTAAAAACTTTCTGAAACACCTTTTCGTTGAGCACAACTTTCATGTTGCTAACTCAGTTGGTCATATTTGTTGTCATTCCTCTTGATAAAACTCACGTTCTTCCCGATTTCAGAGTCCAAACGGCATTTGGAACATTTTTGGTGGGAAGCTTGCTTGGGGGCCTGAAGCAATTGTTTGTGATGATCCAAATTTTCAGGGCCAAGGAAATCCTTCAAGTGGTACTTTATTTTTTTTCTTTGATTTTTGGGTGATACACAAACATTTTTTTCCTTTTTTGCCCCACGTGACCTTCTTTCAGAAATTAAGGAAGCAAATATTCTGTAAATTTTATGAGACATAATCTGAGCTTCACTCCTGCTCTTGATTGTTTGATATAGTTTACGTAAAACAGTTCCGACTTGAGCAAGACATGCTATATACTACCCCACATCAGTGCGGGAATGTTGGGATAACCTCATGAAGTTTACATATGCATGTCTTGGAGACTACCAGAAATTTCAGCTTACCCTTGTACCCATCTGCTGTTGGTGCTGTGTGTAGGGGATATATTCCATGCGGCACCCAATATTGATCATTCGCAGGAATTTGTAAGAAATGATATAAAGCAGTGGCTAAATTGGCTTCGGAATGATATTGGTTTTGATGGATGGCGCCTTGACTTCGTAAGGTGAGAGTTCTTTCTTTTGGGGGGGCCAAAGGCCCAAGGTGTTTTCTTAGTTTGACCCAATGTTCAGATGTCTGAATCTTTAGAAAAAAATTTCTCCCTTTAATCCCTAGCATGCAATTAATTCCTTTTGTGTTGTTCCAGAGGCTTCTCTGGCACCTATGTAAAAGAATATATTGAAGCTTCGGTTCCTGCATTTGCTATTGGAGAATATTGGGACAGCTTAGCTTATGAACATGGAAATTTGTGTTACAATCAAGGTACGAACTTGTGAACTGCAAGAGACGATTATACACCGCCTTAGTAAAACTCGTATGTGGCCAGAAACAATAATATGGTTACTGTTTTGCTCATTATGGACACATATGACAATGTTAAATTTTTTGGTTCTCTAGATGCTCACCGGCAACGGATTGTTAATTGGATCAATGCCACAGGCGGCACTTCCTCGGCATTTGATGTCACAACAAAGGTACTCTAGACTGCATCTGCTACATCCTATATTAGTTTGACTCACATACATTAGGCTTAAGAACAATGTCACTAGGACCGTGGGGAAAAATCGAAAAGTAGTCTGATGTAATTTATGTTGTGTGGCTGCATATTTGAGCCCAATGCATACTTAGCATTGCAATTTTGCAGGGAATACTCCACTCTGCTCTTCATAACCAATATTGGAGGCTAATAGATCCTCAAGGGAAACCAACTGGAGTTTTGGGATGGTGGCCCTCTCGTGCTGTCACGTTTTTGGAGAACCACGACACAGGATCAACACAGGTCTCTCTTTCACACATGCATGCACGCGCACACAAGCACTGAAAGCAAATATCCCCATTAACGATGCCATATAACCATTAACGAAGCACAAGAAGCCCGTCACTGGTTTTTAACTGCTAGACTCCTGACGTATGAACTTTCTTTCTCTCTTTTTATGTCAGGGTCACTGGCCATTTCCACGAGATAAGCTTACACAGGGATACGCGTACATCCTAACTCATCCCGGAACAGTGAGTTCTCAATCCCCTCAGTTTCCATTTCTTACTTTACGACTAGCTGCTATTAAACTTCGCAATCTGCAATCTTTACGTTCTTACCTCTGTTGTGCAGCCTGTCATTTTCTATGACCATTTATACGACTTTGGTCTCCATGACATCCTAACTGAGCTAATCGATGCTCGTAGAAGGGCCGGGATCCATTGCCGGAGCTCGGTGAAGATATACCACGCGAACAATGAAGGTTACGTTGCACAGATAGGTGATACACTGGTAATGAAGCTCGGACATTTCGATTGGAACCCGTCGAAGGAGAATCATCTGGAGGGGAGCTGGCAGACGTTTGTTGACAGAGGATCGGATTACAAACTGTGGGTACGACAGTAGTCTAGTACGATTTAAATGGAAACGTATACATATATATACTTGTAACACCTGGGATTAATAAATAATTGTAACTTCTTGGCACCAGGAATAACTGCAAATATAATGCAAAAGAAAACAATTGTTTTGGCAGCAATATTCTTCGTAAATAAAGAAGGCTTTTTGGCCAAAATGGATCATGAGGTTGACATAATTCGTTACTTTGATACCTGGGATTTAAAATCAATAGAAGTCGTCCTCGAGATTGTCCATCGTCAATCATTTTAGTCATTTAGTAAAAAAAATCTTCGTTAATTTGAAGGTATTTTTGTCAAATCAACCTTTCTACTTGAAAGGGTGGTTTTTTCAATTTGACAGAGATTTTGTATAGAATGACCAAATGATTGACAATGGACAATCTCAGAGACCATTTTCAATTGATTTAAATTTCAAATACCATTTTGACTAAAAAACTAATAAAAAAAACAAGCCAAAATGTAGATGTCCGATTGCCTAATGAAATGATGTGACCTCCTTATTTACTTTATCTAATTATAAATGAAGTATAAATAGTATAACAATATGAAAGACATCTAGATAATCAATAACATGTCAATATGCTTATGAAGCCATCCAATCGACGATGTGATAACATGTCCGATTGCCATGCGACGATGTGATAGCAGCAAAACTGGTTAAGAAACAATAATAAGAAAATACATTTAAAAATGGTTGTTTTGGAGATGCAGGGGATCGAACCCTGTACCTCCCGCATGCAAAGCGGGCGCTCTACCATTTGAGCTACATCCCCATCTTGCTAATTCTTCTCATATCAAATATAACTATTTTTATTTTACAAAATCATCAATCATGTGCTCTTTCTCTATCTGGGCAGGGATTTGGATCCCAGAATCCAAATTGTATATCATGCAATCAGAAATCATTTGATTTTTATTATTTAAAATTAAATATAAATAGTAATTAACAAAAACTGACCGCACGATATACGATGAACGGTTAAGATGTGAGGATCTCTAAGATATCCATAAAAAGAATTTGAAGAGGATCCTCCTCTGGGTGGAATGAGATCCAAGTTGGATTTGTGTCGGAGCGTGGACCTAGACATTGTTACCATTCAAGAGAAAATAAGAGATCTGAATCATTCATCTTTAAATTTGTATGTAATGAATTAATGAAAGGGAGTTTTAATGAAAAGTCTATGATACTGTTCATTTTAACGAAAAACTATATTTTTACATTAAAAAGTCAAACCTGATACTATTCACTTTACCCTTTATTTTGTCCTTATCGTTAAAACTCAAAGTTTTCAAAATATTTCCACTAGTTTTCCTCTAATAAAATAAGTTAATGAAAATATAAAATTAAAATTAAATAGTTCAAATCTCTTTATCTACGGACACTAGACACAGAAATCCAAAGCGATTTCAATCTTATCAGGGCAATTTAAAAATGTAGGAATGCACCCACCAACTTTGCCACATCAGTGTTACTGTGTATGCAAGCAAAAACGACAACTCAAGTCAAAGTCTCAGCTGCACAAATCCCGGAGTCAAAGCAAAATCGACGACCTGAGTCAAATTCTCAACCTTACCACCAATATTATTAATTTTTAGATCTTTATTTATTCACATTATTAAAAATAATGATGTATCCTGTTATTTGCATTAAAATGTACCCCATGATTTTTCGTTGAATTAATTGGGAGCATGACACATGTACTAAGAATCAGAAACATAGGGCAATAAATGGCAAGACTTGGGGAAGGAAAATTAAAAACTCCATCACCAAACCCTACTACACTCTTCTATCTTTAAACTACATAAACACATCTTATTTCATATTACGATGACACAAGTTGGTTATGTAGATGCTAATGACTGTTGCTAGTTTTAGTTGTTCAAGCGTTTGTGCATAAATTATGAATATATATATATACACATTAACGGTTTGAAATTGTCACATGTAAGCTGTATTTAGAAAAAAGTTGTTGTCGGTTAATTACTTTGTGATGAATATGAACCCTTTGAGTTCGCTTACTACATACATGAACGATTACAAAAATCCACTTCTAAGTTTCATTTAGGGGAATGCTATTGTCCAATCTTAACCCTTATGACAAAAAACAAGCAGGAGCCGAAAAGATGATGATTTACACTGCAGCGAATGTCAGCAGTTTAAGTATTTCTCATCTCAAACTCGTAAATTTAGCTAATACAAAACCTAAATTTAGCAGACGTTATTGGGCCTTGAAAGTTAGGTGGCTTGGCCCAAACATATGACAACCCTAGATAATTAAGCACTTAAACCCACCCACTTATCCCTAATCGTTTGCTTAAACCGGCGGCGGGAAAATAAACCCAAAAAAAAAAAAAGAAATAAATATTTACTTATTAAGCACATTTACAAAATTCTCTAAAAAAAGAAAAAGAAAAGAAAAAGTTCCAAAGTTCGGCCTGAAAAATAAAGTGCACCGGCCCACGCGTGGACAAAAGCGCGTGACGTCCGAATATCCCGTCCACTTTTTCCTTTCGAGCCACAAGCAATGACGCACACTTACTTGAGCCTACGTCACACTACCATATCAACCGTCGATATCCCAGATGTCGTCATCTGACGTCCATAAACGGAGGGCGCACCAACTCCCGCGAAGCACAATAACACCTCTATCCCCGTGCCGTAGGTTCGGGTACTCAACAATACCCGAACCTGGGTTCGGACCCCGAGCCTGAGGCAGCATTTTCTTCTGAGACTCTCTGTGTTTGTTGGAAAACATATTTTTCGGAGCGGTGTTTTGGTTGGATCGCTTTATCGTCGGCTTCGGGTCCGAAAAATGGATTGCGGTTTCTCACTTCTCTGGTCCTAGAGAGAGAAAGTTCGGTTCCGGAGAGATAGAAGGAGCCATTTGCGACGTCGTTTTGGAGCTTAAACAACTGTGGTGTGAATTGGGAGCTGTAAAAGAAGCAGAAACGACGCCGTACTGTTCGCGTTCTTGAAGAACCCTAATTCCCCTGGATTGGGATCACACTGTGAGCTCCCAACTCTCCGCTTTTTGCTAGTTTGCCCTTCTGAGTTCACACTCTGTTGGTTTAGCTTGTAAGAGTGAGACATTAGAGTTGGAACTGCTGAGGTTTGCTGTTTCTAATTTTAGTCGAATTACCTCGGAAATTGTTAAATTCAGGTGGTTTGTTAGTAGTTTTGGGAGAATTGGGGTTTCATTGATTGTTGGGTGGAGATTTTGTTGGATTTTTTAGGGTTTTTGAGTGTAAAGTTTGAGTTTTGCTTATGATTTAATTTGGGTTTCTGTTGCTTAATGATAGTGTTTAAGTGCTTTGTTTAGCCTTTGATTTGTTTTTCGAAATCCCGAGTTCGCATTAAGCTTAAGTTTCTGCTGAATTTGCAATTTCGGGGGTTTGCTCTCTTTCCCATCTTTTGGTATTAGCTCAAATACTCTCATAAGAGTCGTAAATTCGAGTGCTGAAAAGAAAATTCAACTGTGAATATCGAAAAGTTCGAATTTTTGTCATTTCAAATAATTTAGGAAAGTTTGAATCTTGTAGCTGGGCACCCAAGCCCCTAACACACACACACACACACACATCTCTCTCTCTCTCTCTCTCTCTCAGAAGTCATATTTGCAAGCAACCGAATACTACTAGTTGTTTGACACTTGATTGGAATTTGTAACTTTGATGTCGTAGGTTCCAATTGGAAAACTGTTTTAGCGGTTCTCCATAAATGAGACCGGCTTGAGTTTGAAATCTGATGTAACTGTATTTTCGAGGTTTTTCCATGATTAAATTTTCGACATTTTACTGGCTTTATTAATTGATATTTTGTCAAAATTGTCTGTCAGTACTTCTAATCTCAATGTTTCCAATGAAATATGCAGGAAAGTTGGAGAATGCCCGGCAGAATTGCGGGGATCAGGGTATCTTATGCATAATGGTCTCATAAACAGTCGTAGCTCTTTTTCACAGAAACAATTAGCTGAGAAATTTGGTGCCTGGGAATTTAATGCCTGGTAACGAAATTGAAGGCAGGATCCACAATTTTTATGAACAAGACAACTATACCCGTCAATCTCAAGTTGCAGACGGTAATTGGCCTGTGCATATTTATAATCAATGGCATGGAAAACAAAGAGAGACAAGTAATGTGCAACAACTAGGTACAAGGGGCTTCATTTTTTATGGCCTTCTTGATTGCTTTATGAGTTCCATGTTTTGATTGTCATGACTGCATTGGAATTTGCTTTTTGTTTCCCAAATAGTGGATAAATCTTTGAATTTTCCCCCAGGACAGTTGCATAATGTAAAATACCAAGTTTGTGTTTTTGAATGCCCTAATGTATCCGTTGTGGCATTTGCAGATTTTGGGAGAGGACGGGGTGGTGAGTCTTTGAGTTTTGATAAAACATATACACAGTTGGCTCAGAAACCGGAATTGTCCCATATTCAAACTAGAAACCAACATCTGGAGACGAATGGGTTTATGCTTGGATGGCAGGATTTGCAGGAAAGCCAGTTTTTCGATGATAGCTCAGTTTTTGTTCCACTTTCTTTAACTTCGAGAGGCTTATCTATCCTTCAATCAGAGCAAGAAAATGCATCGTGCGATAGTCCCACTTTGACAACCAATTCAGAAAGGTCTGAAATTACTGAAGCTTCCAGTGAGTTTAACTTTGTTGGAAGGCAGCAACAACTTGTGAGGGGACAACAACAAGGCATTCCACAGATTCACTCGATGCAGCAGTCTGGGTACAATGACATGCAGATGTTGCAGCAGCACCTGATGTTTAAGAAACTGCAAGAACTTCAGAGGCAGCAGCAACTACAACAGTTCGGTGATGCAAGGCAACATAATGCAGTAAATCAGCTCTCTGCAATTAATAAGCAGGCTTCAGGGGTTCAGTTTTCACCTCTAATCAATGGAACACCCGTTAATGATACGCCACAAATGTTTATGAACTGGGTGCAGAGGGGTGGATCTCCGGGAGGACAAAATATTTCTAATAGAGTTATTTTTTCTCAAGAGCAAGGTCAAACTTTGAGCTCGATGGGTCTTGCTCCTCAGCAGTTTGATGCATCTTTATATGGTACTCCTGTTGCTAGTGGAAGAGGGACTATGAATCAGTATTCCCATCTTCCGGCGATGTCTCATGATTCTGAAAATTTGTTGACCAAGGCTAATGATCAAATGCAGAAGCCTGCTATGCAGCCATCAGCCTTCAATAACTCATTTGTAGGTGATCATTGTACAACTGCTTCTCCGGACCAGGTTTGCTCGCCTCAAGGGGCTTTCGTATCCCGACAAGGCTTTCAGGGAAAAAATGTATTTGGACAAGTTATTACTCAGGGTTCAAATTGTGGATCCACATTGGGTAACCTCCAACAAGGGGATACCTTGCAAACAAATACATCACTACAGGAGCTCAGTGGAAAGCAAGATCAAGCTGGCTGGCCGGGAATCTTTCAGCAAAAAACAATGCAGCATGGCCCTTCCCAGGGTTTGGTTCCCCTCGATCCAATGGAAGAGAAGATTTTGTTTGACATGGATGATAGTACTTGGGATTCGTCTATGGGAAAGCAGAGTGATATTGGGGCTGGAGGCTTTGGAAATGCATTCGAATGTTCATTTCCTTCTCTCCAAAGTGGAAGCTGGAGCGCGCTTATGCAGTCTGCTGTAGCAGAAGCTTCTAGTAGTGATACCGCCCAACAGGAGGAGTGGAGTGGGTTGACTTTTCAGAATACCGAGCTGTCAACTGGTAATCAGCCTTCAAACATCGTGGACAATGAGAACCAAGGAAGTTGGGCTGATAACAATCTGCAGAGTGTCTCTTCCTTAAGTTCAAAACCTTTTCCCATGCATAATGACTCAAGTGTTAGTTCTAGCTTCCCTGGCTTTCCACAGCCAGACATCCAATTCACACCTGAGCATCGAGAAGGGTTTCACCAGGATGAATCTCATGAGTCCATTCAGAAGTCTCCCAAAAGTTCTAGCGAGTGGTTGGATCGTAACTCTCAGCAGGTTCAGCCACACATGCGTTTGGACAACACATGGCCCAGTCAAAGCAGTAAACCAGAAGGTAAGAATGTTCATTTTCAATCCTCTAATGGAAATGATGCTAATTTTCGTTTCCCTGATATTGTGGGTGATTGTTGAACAGGTGATATTACTGAAGGCATGTACAATAGGAACTCTGAGAACCATATGTGGATTAGGGATGGTGATTCCAGGGTAACTTCATTTTCCAGATCAACTGGACAATTGGAGCAAGTACATTTTGGTTCAGAGAGTATTCTTAGGAACAGAGAAAATTCCAATATTTTTAACTTTCATTCTCTGCAAAATTCACACATGACTAATGTCCATCAGGAAACCAGTCACCAAGTCCAAGATAATAATAAGCTTGATCACGGGAAACATTTTATATCTAGCAACAAGGAGGACAATGAGGGCATTGGAGAAAAACAGCATCAAATGAGTAACAGCTCTCATGTTATGCAAAACTCTTATGGGAGGGAAGGTGGGACATATGAGCAGCAGCAAAATTGCTACCAGAGGGACAACTCGTATGACCGGAAATCAGAGGATTCTAGTGGCATGCGTGTGACTGCACAAACAAGGTAGTTTGCTTAAGAATAATGAGGGATTGAAAGTTCCAAATGGCTAATATTTCTTTTGAATACTAATGAACATTAAACATTCTCTCTGCAGCCTTCCTTATTAATTTCCATATGTATTCGCATTCGTTAGCATATGAAAATTAAATATTCTCTCTGCAGCCTTCCTTATTATTTACCTTATGTATTCACATTGGTAGCATGTGGGCATTAAACATTCTCTCTTCTATTTTGTATATTCTCGTGGAATCTTTAGATGGCTTAACCACAACAGTCAAAATATGCTTCATCTTCTTATCAGGGTTGATCAGTCGAAGGAGAATAGTTCTATCGCACAGTTTGGCCGTTCTGGATTTAACCCATTATCTGAGGTAACTGAGGCAAAAACTCCTGGAGCTTCTGTTTCTCATATCTACAATCAGTCTTCTGCTTCTCAAGGTTTTGCTTTGAAATTGGCTTCTCGATCTCAACGACAATCCATTTCAAACACTCTTTTCTCTTCTCAGGGTATGATCCATCCAGCTAGTAATCCAAATCAAATGCAAATGGATTCTAATTTAAGAGAGAAAAATCAGACCTGGTCTACTCTGTCCCCTTCTCAACCTTTGCCCCAATCACATGAATCATCACCGAGATCCCGTTGGGATGATAAATTTGGTATCGGGGGACAATCAAGCAGCCCTACGTCTTATAAGCATGGAAGCTCTATTGCAGAAATTACATCCAGTCCTACATTTTCAAGGAATCAGCGTCAAACGCAACATCTGTTTAATGTACCTGGTCCATCTAATCAGACAACATCACCTGGTTCTGCTGCAAAGCATGCATCTTCCAACCTTGCTCTATCTCAAGATACTTCTCAGCAAATTTTTGTCAACTCTGGTGGTCAACAATTCCCTGTTCTTGAAGCAGTTCCAGTTTCTCAGCCTTCTTTTATGTCAGGCATGCCTGCACGGGTTGGAGTATCAGTGAAGCCACAGAGTTTGTGGACAAATAACCAATGTCAGCAACATCTTTCTGGCATGGAAACTACTTCATTGGCTTCCAAGGAGCTAAATGGTCTAAATACCCAGGACGGTGGATATAGGTCATCTGAATTTGGCCATTCCCATACGAGTTTTCAAGGATTCATTTCTGCACAAGAGAAGCAGGGGGAAGAGACGACGTTTGATGCTTCACAGACAGGGGTAAGGAATGTCTCCGATCCTAGTGATTTTGCCTCTGGAACATTGTTGAATCATTCGCACCTGCAGGATCTTGGTGGAATACATCGTAGTGACAGCAATGGCCTGGCTCCCTCTGCAAGAAATCTTGGATTTCTTGGCCATGCTTTAAAACATTCACATGGATTTCGTCATGACCACTCCAGGCTGCACCAAGTGCAGGATACGAAGAATGAAGAGGCTGATCCAAGTAGCAGGGATCTGGATGTACAACAGATAACTGCTATGGCAGGACAGCAGTCAATTTATGGTCATAACAAGGATGGTGAACTGAATTCTCCATCAGCTCACAAGTTTTCGCCACTTGGAAACTCCAATGCGACAAATTTCCTGACGGATGCAAGAGAAGGTCCAAGTGTAAAAACTTCCTCACAATCTGCCTTCCAAGCCCAAGGCATGGTTGCATTTGGTGAAAGTGATTCTCAGAGTCCATCTATTGGCAATAATGTGTTACCTAATTATGCTGAAACTTCTCAGCCCAATCTAAGTATGGCATCGAACTGGTTTAAACAGTATGGGACCTTCAGAAATGGGCAGATGCAACCAACGTATGATGCAAGGCTTGATATGTCTTCCGCAGGGCAGACCTTGCTTGTGAAGCCTTCGCAAAGCCTAAACATACATTCTTCTGTGGAACAGATAGATGCTTCTGATGCTAACAGAGTATGGCCAAGTACAGCTACCAATTTGGTAGCAAGCGAACCCTTTGTAGCTCCTTATGTGTTACCTTCAGATGTCATTGATGAAAGTATGGCTATCGTGAGACCAAAGAAACGCAAAATTGAAACATCAGAGCTTCTACCATGGCACAAAGTGACAGAAGGTTCCAAAAGGGTTCAAGATGTCAGGTATTTACTATTGCTCCCCGTTTATTTTCTTTGTGTCAAATTTGGCATGTAGAAGATGAGGTATTCCTTTGTTCACGAAAGTGCACAGCTGATCCTCGGGTTGTTTATGCTGGTTCATTAACTTTTGGATTGCATTTTTTTATGCAGTCTGGCAGAGCAAGAATGGGCCTTGGCATGCAATCGGCAGACTGAGAAAGTGAGCTTCTAGTTAAATGGGTCACACCAGCAATTCATTCTACTTTAAAAAAATTCACAGGTATTTTGGATCCAGGTGTTTATGTATTATTCATTTTTAATGGCAGGTTGGACATGAGTTTGAAATGATTGAAGATGGACTTCCAATCCTTCGAACTAAGAGAAGGCTTATCTTCACAACACAGTTTCTGCAGCAATTGCTGGGCCCTGCACCAGCATCCATTCTCTCAGCAGACGCTGCTTTGTACTATGATAGTGTGACATATTTTGTTGCTAAATTATCATTAGGGGATGCGTGCACCCTGGCCTGCAGCAGCAGTACTGATGTGTCACTGAACGACAGTAATAAGTAAGTCACGTTTCATGGTTTTTTGAGAGAACCAGAGAGATTGTAAATTTGAAGTTTATAAGAAGTTCTTGAGCTACAAGTTGTATGGTTCGAGGTTTGGCCTTCTAAGAATTAATTTCTCTGCAATCATTTTGTAGGATTGGGGAAAAGCCTAAAGTTTCTGAAAATACTGAAATGCAGTATTTATCAAAAGCTGTGGAAGATTTCACTAATAGATCGAAGAAGCTGGAAAATGACCTACTGAGGTATGCCAAAGTTTTCTGTTCAGGAATTTTTTTTGACATTTCTAGTAACTACACTGTCATTCAGTCTTATTCGGGAACAAAAGGTAGAAAAATGTTTCTTGCAACTGACCATAAGCGGTTGGACTAAGGCTCAGTTGAGTATGCTTTTCCTTAATAACCAGATCTGCAACTCTGCTAGAAGTTTACATGGGGTGGGGTACTCATACATTTTTCCAAATTTTAATTTTGGTCACATATATTAGTAATTGTCAGAAATCAGCTACTTACCCTGTTCCCAAGGGTAAAAAAAAGGTTCCTTTGAATTCAGAACTACATGTCTTTTAGAAAGTGCGAAAATTGGGTAATCCTTAGAATTATGCCTTGCAAATCTGTCAGAATTCGGCCATTTAGTTCAATTTATTTTGTATCATGATGTCTTTTAATGATGCAGGTTAGACAAGGTTTCAATTTTAGACTTAAGACTAGAATGCCAGGAGTTGGAAAGATTTTCTGTCATCAACCGGTTTGCCAGGTTCCATATCCCCCAAACAGCTATGTCTGGGACCACTTCTTCATCCGGTACAGTTCCAACTGCACCAAAACCATTCCCCCAACGATATGTCACTGGACAGCCGCTGCCAAGACATCTACCAGAGGGTGTTCATTGTCTGTCACTATGATTGTGAATTGATTGCTCCTTCCCCCTGAATGCTCTTCCCTTTTCATCCATATGCATTCCAGATCCCGCTCATGCACCCGTTTATGATCACTTTTTACTGACATACATGCTAGCCTAGCATAGAAGAAAGAAGATTGAAAAAATGGAATGCAGGAAGTCAACCCCAAGTAACGAAAGCTGCTCGTTCATTTTTGAACCGACACCTATTGTTGTCATTTTTGGGAAAGTACATATTGTTCTCTTGTATATTTTGAAGAAGTTGCAAAGGAGAATAGGTAGAGTGCCTGAAGCAGCAGGAGGATGGTCGTTGGTACGAATGTCTCTTAGTGGCCCTAAGTTGTTGCATAAATTAGTTTTTAATCTAGCCATACCTAATTTATACAAGAATATCCGGTAGCTACGAGCACTGTCACTGTCATATTTCCTCTCTTTTTCTTCTCCTTTGCGCTCTTCGCCGTTTTTACAGGTCTTTTCTGCATGAAGCTGTGCTGGCTGAACCCAGGAGAAAGAGTTGGGATGTTGAAGATGAAAAACAGTTTAGTTAGTTAGGAAAAATTGAATAATATTATGAAGGTTGTAATTTTATGATCCAACAGATGCTTTGCTTACTCTGCAAACACTCCACCTCCAAAAACATGGGTGAGTTTTTTTTTTTTTTTTTTTTTTCCCTGCCATTAATGATAATATCTTTCTTGTTTTCTGATTGGTCACGTGTAAATGCTGGTACTTTTGCCTTTGGATTTTTGTAAGGGGGAGCACATAAGATCTATCGGAAAAGGTTGCCGAAGCTTCCAACTCCATTGGAACTTTGAATTTGTTTGTCTTTTGTTGTCCTCTTGTGAAGTACTAGGTTTCAGATTCAAGACATTGATTCTGTGTCCCCTCCGAATGGAGTAAAAGACAAGGAAATGCTTCATTGGATAGGACAAAAAGGGGTTTGGAATTCATGGGATCCGATGAGTACTTTCGTTGTCTGTCTGCATCAGCAGAGCAGCATCTGATCCGTTCATGATCCACCGAAGTTTTTTTATTTATTTTTTGATTTTTTGACAAAAATGATGATAAAATTCTGTGGTGTTACTTGACAGCTGACAACATCACGGATTTGATGTTTGTTTTTTCTGGAAAAGCACTATAGTTTTCACCATCATTTTCTGTTGTCCACGTGGGTTTGGATTTGGAACATGGGATTTTTGCCACGTGGAATATGGGACCTGAATCACCAAGGTCCTTGTCCTTGTCCTGGTTAGCCAGACCTAGATTGCTCATGGAATTGGGGATGGATAATTCCTGGGGCAGTGTTCTTTGCCACCGTACATTTACTCTTACATATAAACAATCATTTTAGACCGATATTTTAATCCAAATTTAAACTGTAAGAGCAAATGATGGAGTTTCTCTCAAGCTTAATTTGTTCGGGAGAAAGTCTCTTTTGAAACTCGGTTGCAAAAAAGAGTGGTCTCTGTTCAGCTTGGCTATGAGCTTACGCCTCGGTTATTATAAAAATGACATTTTTGGTCCAATTAAAAATCATGTAGAAACATGTTTTGTTTCCACTTTTGATGTAGTAATTGGTGATTCAACTGGAAGACTTGGGTAAGGGCAAACTTGGAAGAACGGTAACTGGAGAATCAATACCAATCAACCTTCATGAGGAAGGTTACTTCTTGAGGAAGTATCGGACCCGCACGAGCAAGTATCAAATCAAACCTTCAGGAGGAAGGGGGAAGGTTTACTTCTTGTGGCTGTTAGTCAATGGTGACGTGGTCCAATGAAAGCCACGCGACAAGTATCCTCAGCCCACTAACTTTCTAGCTTTGTCAAAGAGTCCAAGGGCCTTCCTTTAACTGTCTATGTGGCAGTAGTGGGTCCCAGTGAGAACAAATGAAGGTGTAGAGACCTCCTGTATTATACTTGTTAGGAAAGTTTTGGGATAAATAAATACTTCATTTGCCCCTATAAATATCGCATATCCAGGCTGGCTAGTCTTCTTAATCGTAACCCCAAATTCTCACACCGTAAAACATAAACTGGTAACTGCCCTGTGTGCACATTCACTACCACAACAAAAGCTAGCTAATGCCTCTCTCCCTCTCTCTGTCTCTCTCTCTCTCTCTCACACACACACACACACACACACACACTGTCTCTCTCTCTCTCTCTCTCTCTCTGAAAAATCATGGAAATTGAGTTCTGTGTGGATTGCAGGGAACCCAGAGAAGTTGTGATCGACCACCAGTCGGGTGACACAGTCTGCACCGACTGTGGTTTGGTTCTTGGAGACCACTGCGTCGATGTCACCCCCAAGCGGCGAAAGTTTCATGATCAGAACCCCGGGGAAGACCGAAGTCGCGTGGGCGCTTCCTTGGATACTTTGCTGGACAATGCCGTTCTTACCACTTGTATCTCCAAAGACACGAAGCAAGACAAGAAGAAGGATAATGTCGATGGCATTGCTCCTCCTAGTAACCAGTTGAACAACGCCGTGTCAAACCCCCAAAAGTCTCTCGCAAAAGCTACCAAATACCTCGAATCCATGGCTTGTTGGCTAGACAAACATGGCCTTCCCGATCAGGTTCTACATGATGCCGAAGCGTTATACAAGAAGGCCGTTGATAAGAAGATTCGTAGTGGGAGAAAGTTTTGTAGGGGGAGAAAGTTTGAGGTTATGGTGGCCGCTTGCCTCTTTCTTGCTTGCCAAGAAAACAATAACTCGCGAACACCCAAGGAAATCGCCAAGGCTGCCAACGGACCTTCTAGGAAAGAAATTAACAAAATGGTAAAAGTCTTGGAGAAAGAGCTAGAGATCCGTGTTAGAGTTTGATATTTGGATTAGTTTATATTTTACAGAGTTTTGATGTAATTTTCACTAAGTAATTGAAATTAACAATGTATTCAACTGAGATTTTGAGAAAGTGCGAGCGATCGATGTGGAAAGAGAATCCAGGTGGTTGAACGTGTGTTTTTCTGGTCAAGGAGAACAGGACTGCCAATTTTTTATATCAAATTTTTTTTCTCTTTCAATATGCTGAAAAAACATAAGTGTCATAATAGTGAATATTTGAACAAATTTTTTTTTAACGATTTGTTTTGTAATATGTGATGTATCAGACCGTATTATTTGTTCTCTGGGTCCATGTGTTTTTTCCTCGAGGATTGTGGACCCCAGCCGACACGGTTCTATTAAGAATATATTCTCATTGAATGAAACTGGGTTATATTGGGTGTATTTATACACAGCAACTAATAATATTAGTTAACTACTAATGTAACTAATTAAGCTTAATCTATGAATTAGTTACAATAGAAAACTTAAGGACTAAGCAATAGATGACTTGGACTTTAGCACTGTTGACTGTTGGGTTCACTGAGAAGAATAATGTGTGTCTTTAGGTTCTACTTCTTTAGGAATCCTCTGCCCTTTGCGTGTTGTATTTGAAATACTTAAGTCGGTCGCATTGGAGTCGGTTAACTAAAGCTTTTTCTCTATAAATATCGCATACCCTGGCTTTACATCCCACAATACAAAATATAAGTTATTTCGCAAATCTCTCTCTCTCTCTCTGAAAATCATGGAAGCTGAAGATTTCTGTAGAGACTGCAAGCAAGAGACAGACGTCGTGTCCGACCACACGTCGGGTGACACAATCTGCACCGTCTGTGGTTTGATCCTTGAAGCCCGCTACATCGATGAAAGAGCCGAGTGGCGAAATTTTGCCGATCAGAACCCTGAAGAAGACCGGACTCGTGTCGGAAAAGCCTCCGATCCTTTGGTGGATAATGGTGTTCTTTCCACTTGTATATCCAAAGAAAAGAAGAAAAACAACAAGAAGGGTACTGATGCCGATGGTAATTTTCCTCCTAATAAATGGACCAATAGGGCTGTAAACCCTAGCAATTCTCTCCTAAAACCTTTCAAGTACCTCGAAGAGATGGCCGACCGGCTAGACATATACGAAGGCGTTCCGAAATGCATACTGGATCATGCCAGAGGTCTATACATGAAGGCCGATGATAAGAACTTCTGTAAGGGGAGAAATTCTAACCCTATAATGGCTGCTTGCCTCTTGCTCGCGTTTGAAGAAAGCCAAAATACGCGAACACTAAAGGAAATCACCATGGTTGCCAATGGGCCATCTAAAAAAGAAATTAGCAAGATGAAGGAAGAGTTGAAGAGAAGACTAGGCCTTGCTTCCAAGATCAAAAGCGCAATCGACCTTTGGCCGCGACATTGCTCGAATCTTGGCATGAGTAGTAAAGATAAGAAGGCTGTGGAAGAAGCTCTGAAGAATTTGGCAAATTTTGATGTTAGGAGAAACCCCAATTCTGTTGTGGCAGCGGTTATGTACATGGTAGTTCAGCTTTCTAATGGGAATAACTGTTCTGTTCAAGGTATTTTAAACTCTTTCTAGTACTCTTATTTATGCATGTTTTATAGCAGTTAAGCATGCATGTATGTTTAATTTATATATGATTAACTTCTTAATCTTAGTAATTAAGAAGCATATATTAGAACTTAATTACTGGGGAAGATGGGTAGGATGATGGGTAGACTAGGCTAGAGATTCAGGATTCGATACCTTCCTTATTGTTTCATTAGGGAGTAGAACATAATGATTTTTGTACAGTGCTAATAACATCTCCCTTTTGATTAATAAATGTCGGTTTTTGTTGTACTTCGAGACTAATTCAGTCGGTATATTTGATTATTAATTTCTGTAATCTATCTTACAATCATCCTAATTGATCATGCTTGATTTGTCTGCATGGATTTGATGTAAACTATGTGGATCTGCAGATGTCTCAAAAGCAGCTGATGGTGTTGCTGTAGGGACAACTAAAAAGACATACAAGGATATTTATCCCTATGCTTCACAGATAATACCAACCTGGTATTGCAGGTTGGAGGACCTCAAGAAACTTGTCACTCCTTGAAGGTCTAAGGCACAACACGGCAATTCCTAATTCCTGATCCTTCCAGCTTATGGAGTTCGCTGGGATGATTAATTTGGCTTTCCCCTCACAATTAGTTGTGGGATTATCATTTGACTAATTGTCAAAATTTGAAGTCAGATTCTGAATTGGTATGTGGCATGATCGCTTATGCCAACTTGTTCTTCAAACAGTCTTTTCCTCCTCACAAATTGGTGTGCTTTTGAATGCAACGAGAAAATATGCCCGCGCGTTGCTGCGAGACTTGAATGCACCCGCCTTAACTACATAAATAAGACATATTTAACCTGAATAAATTAAGACACATGCACCATGCACTCGTCTCTCAATTAGAAGGAAACTTGTGTTGCAATACTGAGAAAAAGCTTATTTATGCAAACTGGCATTTCACTCAATTATACATTAGTTATGGCATCTTTGGAACTAAATGACTTCAACCTTAATATCCTATAAGCAGTATGTTTCTATATTTTAAATCCTGTTATGCTAACAGGTAAAAATAGATGATACAAAAGTAATTTAGTTTCATCATGCATATTTTCACACTATTTAGTAAAGAACTTGGCCGGACTTGATTCCGAATAACATTCACAATTTCATATAGAATTTCAAAAGCCAGAGACTTTAGTGTAAATTACAATAAAATTTCACAAAGAAAGCAAATTGTAATATAAGTCTGATCTACAATTCGGATTTACCTGGATATGGTGATTTACGTTTTCATTGGAATTTTTGCATGCATTTACATCTGATGAAAAAATAATACATCATTAGTTGGCAGGAAGGAACTTTGATAAGCTAATAAAGAAGCAAGATTGAATATAAGTTTCGTGTACCCTGAAGTTGTTTGTTCTTGCTACAGAATACTCGCATCCGTTGTAGCCGCTTCTATTTTCTTCATGGTTTCAGTAACGGTATGCTTGGGTCCAATTCTTGTTGTCTTCTATTTCTCATCCTAAATTAAGTTAACAGTTCAACATTATTCGTTATAAGCTAAAAAAGTAGGATTAGTTATTTTTGTAAATCTATTTCTTGTAAACTTGCCTGTTCCTCGAACATACCTGACAAATCGAGATCATTTGACATGGCTATCAATTGGAATGCATTCATAAAACTCGAGGATTTGGGAATTATTGTCTCCACCACATTTTCCTGCAATGAACATAGCAATTGTAACAAAAATCAGATATTTGGATCGAAGGTAAGATTCTAGCATTTTCTCTGTATCACAATCATGCAGAGCTTTTACCTCAATTGAATCAAATCCAACACTAACCCATCACAGCTCGATGATCACTCAGAACACTGAACGCAAAAATCAACAAAATTTCACCATTTTAAATTATAATTCGTTTCATATTCTTTAATCCACTAAAAAAGCAAAAAATTAAAATTAAATTAAAAGTGAACCTGATTGTCGTGGGTGCGGCCACCGATGAGGAGGTTGAAGACATTGATTTTAGCTTTTTCGTTGAAAAGCCGGCTTTCTTCTTTTCCTTGCGAATCGGATTCTATTATGTGTAGCTCTTCCTCTTTTTGTTCCTTCAAAACTTTTTTCAGCATTCGCTTGAGGAAAGGGGAAATGGGTCCATTGAACTTTCTGCAGTTGCTTTTAAGCTTCGTTCCCTCCCTTCCTCCCTTCCTCTGCAAGTCACATACATTCCCCTCACCAAACCCTTCTCTCTCTCCCTCCTCCCTCCCTCCTCTCTGCAAGTTGCATGCCTTCCCCTCACCAAACTCCTATCTCTCCATCCCCATCCCTCCTTCCCTCTCTCTCCTCCTCTCTCCCTCCCTCCTCTCTGCAAGTCGCATGCATTCCCCTCATCAAACCCCTCTCTCTATTCCCCTCCCTCCGTCCCTCTCTCTCCTCCTTTCTGCAAGCAGCATGACGCCTTCCCACCAAATCCCACACCGAGCCATCAATCCCAACGAATGCAACCCTAACTGACAACAATGCCCACCCAACTTTTACCCCCAACCGTGTGATGTTAACCCTAGACGGGCATTCCTGTCATTCGAATTGATGATGGCATCTTTGTAAAAAGCTAAAAGCATCTGAATGGCAATTTTGTAAATAAATTGAAATGTGGTCCAAAACACTGTTCATATGAATAGTGCGATTTCCCCTCCTACTTTAGACTAAAGTAATTTGAACAAATTTTTTTTTTAACTATTTATTTTGTAATATGTGATGTATCGGATCGTATTATTTGTTCTCTGGGTCTACTTGTTTATGACTTGTGGAATGTGGACCCCAGTCGACACGGTTCTATTCCTTCAGGAGTACGTTTCCCCTTGTGTGTAGTATTTGAAATACTTAAGTCGGTCGCATTGGAGTCGGTTAACTAAAGCTTTTTCTCTATAAATATCGCATACCCTGGCTTTACATCCCACAATACAAAATATAAGTTATTTCGCAAATCTCTCTCTCTCTGAAAATCATGGAAGCTGAAGATTTCTGTAGAGACTGCAAGCAAGAGACAGACGTCGTGTCCGACCACACGTCGGGTGACACAATCTGCACCGTCTGTGGTTTGATCCTTGAAGCCCGCTACATCGATGAAAAAGCCGAGTGGCGAAATTTTGCCGATCAGAACCCTGAAGAAGACCGGACTCGTGTCGGAAAAGCCTCCGATCCTTTGGTGGATAATGGTGTTCTTTCCACTTGTATATCCAAAGAAAAGAAGAAAAACAACAAGAAGGGTACTGATGCCGATGGTAATTTTCCTCCTAATAAATGGACCAATAGGGCTGTAAACCCTAGCAATTCTCTCCTAAAACCTTTCAAGTACCTCGAAGAGATGGCCGACCGGCTAGACATATACGAAGGCGTTCCGAAATGCATACTGGATCATGCCAGAGGTCTATACATGAAGGCCGATGATAAGAACTTCTGTAAGGGGAGAAATTCTAACCCTATAATGGCTGCTTGCCTCTTGCTCGCGTTTGAAGAAAGCCAAAATACGCGAACACTAAAGGAAATCACCATGGTTGCCAATGGGCCATCTAAAAAAGAAATTAGCAAGATGAAGGAAGAGTTGAAGAGAAGACTAGGCCTTGCTTCCAAGATCAAAAGCGCCATCGACCTTTGGCCGCGACATTGCTCGAATCTTGGCATGAGTAGTAAAGATAAGAAGGCTGTGGAAGAAGCTCTGAAGAATTTGGCAAATTTTGATGTTAGGAGAAACCCCAATTCTGTTGTGGCAGCGGTTATGTACATGGTAGTTCAGCTTTCTAATGGGAATAACTGTTCTGTTCAAGGTATTTTAAACTCTTTCTAGTACTCTTATTTATGCATGTTTTATAGCAGTTAAGCATGCATGTATGTTTAATTTATATATGATTAACTTCTTAATCTTAGTAATTAAGAAGCATATATTAGAACTTAATTACTGGGGAAGATGGGTATGATGATGGGTAGACTAGGCTAGAGATTTAGGATTCGATACCTTCCTTATCGTTTCATTAGGGAGTAGAACATAATGATTTTTGTACAGTGCTAATAACATCTCCCTGTTGATTAATAAATGTCGGTTTTTGTTGTACTTCGAGACTAATTCAGTCGGTATATTTGATTATTAATTTCTGTAATCTATCTTACAATCATCCTAATTGATCATGCTTGATTTGTCTGCATGGATTTGATGTAAACTATGTGGATCTGCAGATGTCTCAAAAGCAGCTGATGGTGTTGCTGTAGGGACAACTAAAAAGACATACAAGGATATTTATCCCTATGCTTCACAGATAATACCAACCTGGTATTGCAGGTTGGAGGACCTCAAGAAACTTATCACTCCTTGAAGGTCTAAGGCACAACACGGCAATTCCTAATTCCTGATCCTTCCAGCTTATGGAGTTCGCTGGGATGATTAATTTGGCTTTCCCCTCTCAATTAGTTGTGGGATTATCATTTGACTAATTGTCAAATTTTGAAGTCAGATTCTGAATTGGTATGTGGCATGATCGCTTATGCCAACTTGCTCTTCCAACAGTCTTTTCCTTCTCACAAATTGGTGTGCTTTTGAATGCAATTACTGGTGTGGGTTGCACATCGTTTGACACCAAAGGTGGGAAACGAAATTTGGAGGAACAGAGTTACAAAACTTAAAATTGTGAATTAAATAAAAAATGGTAGTATTCTTGGATTAGAAAAACTAAATACGAAGAAGGAAAACGCGTTCAAGAACAATATTCGGCGTAAGAAAAGGCAACAAGTCAGCTTTGAATATTTGTTGGTCGGTCAAGTGGCGCTTCTGAAATAATGATTTAATGAGGACTTGTCTCGTAAGTTTACTTTGTTAATTCGACCTTTTCTTGTAGAGATAGGGTTTGAAACCTACAGAAAGGTCAAGTTTAGAGGAGTTGCAATTTGATTCTTCTACGTATTATTAATCAATGTGAGACTTTTCTCGAAGTGGAGAAATTTTGACATTTGTTGACATTTTTCTATCCCGTTACTCGCTGCGTCACAAGACGAGATGGGAAGGGAAGTGGATTTGGAGCATAGCTAATCCCCACCATGCCATCCCAGTTTCTGTTAGCCCAAACAGTTTCCAGGAACCAACCCAGAGTTTCAAAATTATGTCCCAAGCCCCGTTTCAAAAGTCAAAGATTCAAATAATTCCACTAGCATATGAAAAAGGCTTATTCTTAGCTACGTTTCTTGGAACTTCGTTTTGATCTTACTTTATCTCTGTCACTCAAAAGTCGTAACTTTATTTTCTGAAACTCAAAATTCATTCCACTTTGACTTGTGGACTCTCTCTTCTCCCCAAAACTTATAGTTTGCCTCATAAAACGTATGTGAGACCCAACATACAATAAGACTATGTCACATGTGCAATAAACTCGATTGTAATCTTCATTATGCGTTGACATTGAACAATCGGAGAATGTTAAGTTTAAAAGAAATTGAAGAGATGACAAAAATAAAAAAGAAATTGATTAGCCTGGTGCACTTAAATCAAACCCACATAAGAAATTAACAAAACTAAGGCAATGTAGAGCCAATTTTAAGTTTTAAGGGGCAAAATGGAAACAAAATCAACTTATAGGGGGCAAAGTGAAGCAAACTTTGAATTTCAGGGAGTAAATTGTCGACTTTTGAGTTACAGAGAGTAAAGTGAGATTAAAATCGAGTTCCAGGGCGTAAGTGAAAATAAGCTTATGAAAAACGAATAAATTCATAAGGAAGAGATGACAATTTAGATAGAAAAAGAAAAGGAAGAAAACAAATAAATCCAGCATACCTCAGCATAATTCAAAAAGTGTGTAAACCAGAAAAGTAACAACAAAAGAAAAGGACAATAATGAATTTAATTACAATTAACAAGGACAATGATGCATCAATAGAAAATGGTAGTGATTATTTTTGGTCGAAAGATTGGGTTTAGTTTAGTTGTTGATTCCAACTAAAAATATAAAATAATAATAATGAATTTAATTACCATTAAAAAGAATTTAATTACAATTAACAAGGACAATGATGCATCAATAGAAAATGGTAGTGATTAGGTTTAGTTTTTTTTTTTTTGGTCGAAAGATTAGGTTTAGTTTAGTTGTTGATTCCAACTAATATCAAGACAAATTCTTGAAGTTTTGGTCCCTTGCATCCAACCTCTCTATAAAAGTGATACAAACTTGAGACTGAACTTCAACAACATATGCGAGTTAGACTAGTTAATCAAGGTAGTGTGCTCGTCTCCTTACACTTAAGCTCGAATTTTTTTTCCTATAAATTAAGGTATTTTAGATATCGTCGTATTCAAAAGAAAAACCTAGCAAAGAAAACAAAAGAGGGAGAAATGGTCAATCCACATGTTTTGGTGATTCCTTATCCAGCACAAGGGCATGTAATTCCTTTGTTTGAGCTTTCAAGATGCCTTGTAAAACACAGTATCGAGGTCACGTTTGTAAATACAGAGCATGTTCATATGCAAATGAAAAATGCATTGGCAATGGAGGATGAAATAGGGAGTAAGATTCATCATGTATTTATTTCTGACGGGTTAGAATCCGTGGAAGATAGGAAAATACCAGGGAAGTTTTCTGCAGCAATCATGCAGGTTATGCCCGGAAAGTTCGAGGAGCTTATCGAAGAGATTAACGGAGCGAATGGGGATCAGATCACTTGTGTTCTTGCTGATCAGAGTCTTGGATGGGCCCTGGAAATTGCCGATCAGAAGGCGATCAAGCGCGCTGCCTTCTGCCCGGCAGCAGCTGCGCTCTTGGTGCTTGGATTTAGCATCCCAAAGCTGATTGATGAGGGAATTGTTGCCAATGATGGTGAGTAGTAACACTCTTTTATGTCTAAATTTATAGAACACTCGCAAATGAAAGTTATGAAATATATCTTTCTTTTTCTTTTGAAATCACGATATGTTCTATTTTAAACTAATCAAAACAACAGAGAGAGGATTCAAATTCCGGTGCATAGCAATAGCATATCCACTCTATCACATTTGCACATAATTGTGACTAGTAGCCGTGGGCGTAGCCATATTGACTAGAGCGGATGTTCTCTCTCTATGCACTTGAGTTTGGATCCCCCTTGATGCAGTTTAGATTAGCATAAAGTAGAATATCGCTTGTATTGAAACCTTCAACTGTGACTTGTATTTGCAGGAACTCCCACAAAGAAACAAGTAATTAAATTGTCACCAGAGATGCCTGGCATGAACACATCAAACTTTGTGTGGGCATGCCTTGGCAGCAAGGCTCTGCAGAAGAATGTGTTTCAACTTATGGTTAGAAACAACCAATCAACAAAGTTAGCAGACTGGTTACTTTGCAACTCAACCTACGACCTTGAGCCGGCGGCGTTTTCCATGGCTCCACAGATCCTACCAATAGGTCCACTTTTGGCAAGCAACCGACTCAAAAGCTCTGCCGGAAACGTCTTGCAGGATGACTTTTGCTTGAATTGGCTTGACCAACAATCTCCACAATCAGTCATATATGTTGCGTTTGGTAGTGTCGCAGTTTTTGATCGAAAACAGTTCGAAGAGTTGGCCTGGGGGCTTGAACTCTCTAATAGGCCTTTTCTGTGGGTGGTCAGGGATGATAATGCACACACAAAAAATGAAGCCTTCCCGGAAGGATTTCTTGACAGCGTAGCTGATCGAGGGCGGATAATAGCTTGGGCACCACAGCAGAGGGTTCTGTCTCATCCGTCAATCGCGTGTTTCGTGAGCCATTGTGGCTGGAATTCCACAATAGAAGGTGTAAGTTACGGGGTGCCTTTTATGTGCTGGCCTTACTTTGCTGACCAGTTTTTAAACCAAACCTACATTTGTGAAGTTTGGAAGGTTGGTTTGGGGTTTGAACGGGATGAAAGTGGAATCGTCACGCGCAGAGAAATCTCAAGCAAGGTGGAGCAGCTGCTAGGAAATGATGAAATAGGAGCCAGGGTTTTAGACATGAAGAAAAAGGTTACGGATAGTGTCGAAGAAGGTGGCGGCTCAAACAAAAATTTCAATAGTTTTGTCGATTGGATGAAACGATAAGTGACTTCTTTGAGCACTGTTTTCATGCTTGACTTACTTCTTGCAAGGAGTTGAGATCAAGCTGGTGTAAACTACAAAAATTAAAACCAAATTAAAAGCGAGTTTACGTGTGTAAATCTTTCAGTGCTTCCAGAAAAGAAAAAATAAAAATAAAAAATAAAATAAAACCTAGTTTCAGCGGCAGAACAAAAGTACAAGACAATAGATTGATGAACCTAAAGCCGTTCACCAAGCAACAGCAAGACAACATGATATAAACCAAAAACCAATAAAATCACGTGTAACATGGATAAATCGTATTTCAAGTTATAGTAAGAAACAGTAAGTCTGAAAGAGGCAGGCTGGCTTGTTTGCAACTCGGCGCATAATCTTGAACCAGCAGCATTCACCCTAGCACCCCAGATTTTACCAATAGGCCGGCTTTCAGCAAGCAGCCAGCTCGGGAACTCAAACCATATTTTATATCATTTTCAACCGAGAGGGCTAAAGGGCCATAGATCAAATATAGTCATTTGACAAAAAACCATCTCCAACCGAAAGGATCAAAAGGTCATAGACGAAGCATAATTTATTATTTTAATTAAATTAATATAGTTAATTAAATTAAACTACCATATTAAAATAAGGTTTTTAGACATATTTTGAGTGTCACTTGTCGCCAAATTATTATGCCTCCAGATTTCTTATCTTTATGTAATCTCAATAATTTTTTGGATATGATTTCAAGTAATACGTATCGCTAACATGAGTAACTCTCCAGATTTCCTATCCTTCTGTAATCTCAATAATTTTTTTGGATAAGATTTCAAGTGACATGTGTCGCTAAAGTTAGTAACTCTCCATATTTCTTACCTTTATGTAATCTTAATAATTTTTCAAATAGAATTTCGAGTGTCACGTGTCAATATGTAATTGGTTGTGCAATTTTTAGATAGGATTCTTATTTACGTGACATTTCTTATCTTCAGCTTTCAATGGTGTAGGTATTTATAGGAAAAAAAATTAGAAAATTCGTCCAAAATAAATATTCAAATTCCAACGGTAACCTAACGACAACATGATGTTAGCTAGCCATAGCTACCTAGCATCATGCTGACACCAGGTAGCCGTTGGCATTCAAATGGGTTGAGTTGGAAGGTTGGCAAAACGTCAAACTTGACATTTTGGAGCTGGAGGGCTGACAAAATATCAAGCTTGACATTCTGGCACTAGAGGGCTGGGTTGGAGGGTTGGCTAGAAATGGCAAGCCTGATGGCTTGATTTGGGGGTTTGGGCCATATGGGACTCACAAGCCCTTTGACCTAGCCCTCGGTTAGAGATGGTTTTCATGTCATTCCAAGCTATTTTTAACCCTATGATCCTTTGGCTGGATCGGTTGAAGATGACCTCAGAAGGCAACTTCTGGCCACAAGACTCAACTTGCTTAGAGTGGCTGGATCAACAGACACCCAGCTCAGTGATATATGTTGCATTTGTCAGCTTCACAGTTTTCAATTAAACACAGTTGCAGGAGCTTGCTCTAGCTCTTGAGCTGTTATCGCTGGCACGTGATCCCTACCCCAAAGGATATCAAGAGCAAGTAGCCTCTTGCGGTCTGATGGTCGGTTGGGCACCTCAACAAAAGGTTCTCGGTCATCCTTTGGTTGCTTGCTTCGTAAGCCATTGCGGTTGGAACTCCCTTGGTTTCTTGTGTTGGCCGTACTTTGTTGACCAGTTTCCTCAACAAGAGCTACATTTGCGATATTTGGAAGGTTGAGATTCGACAAGAATGAAAGCGTGATGATCACACACGGAGAAATCAAGAATAAGGTGGAGCGTTAATAAAAAAGAACATAATACTAACTACTAAGTAACTTTCAAGGGAAGAGGAATACCACCAGATCGTGGTATTGAATGACTCTAAAAAAAAATAAAAAAAACTAAATGTTCGAGCGTTGATAATATAATATCAATAACTCAGTTGATTGATTCAACTGAGACCAAGCTAATGTAAACGGTAATCCAAAATCTTGTGTTCATTACTTCCACAAATAATAGTTTTCCAACATTGCCAAAACAAGAACATAAAACAAAGGCGTGATGAAACTAATGCCGTTTGCCCGAAAGCATCAACGAGATAACAACATGATTAAACCTAAATGATTAGCTAATGAAATTTGACTAAATATACCTGATCATTTCTAGAAACTCTACTTGGAACTGGTCGGGCGAACCAATCTGATAACAAATGACATGCCCGATACCCCATGGGAACTCTCCTCCGCAAGAAGGACAGCATCTGATGGCATCACTTGAGAAGGACGCAATGGAAAACCAATGGCATCTGTAATGTATTCTTCCTGGGATTGTAAAACCCGTTGTGAGACTGATTTATCTTGATCTAAAGATTCAAAGTAGGCCTCCACCACGTCAGTAGGTTTAAGGGCAGCTGTCTTCCGTAACTGTTGAACTCTCCTAACAATTTCGCGAGCAACACCAGCCTCGAACAAGGACTCATCTGGACGTAAATCCAAAACCACCAAAACATCACCATCTCCCGCTGCATCTATCTCCTTTTCTGTCGTTCCATTAGGACGTTTGAAATCCCTAACCACCTTAATATCAGCAACCTTTAAACAATGACCAGAAACGGTAACTTCTCCAGCTTTCTCAAATGCTAAAATGCTTTCCTGGGACATGGCCTTGACTTCTTTGGCAACAACCCCCATTGATTTTCCAAGCCGCTTACCCAGTACACTAAAATCAGGCTCTGCACGTAATGAAGCATACTCCAATGTATCATTACACGTGACAAGAGATCGTACATTAAGTTCCTCCAACACATACTCTCTTAGCTTTCCAGCAATATCATCAAGAAAGTCTGCATCAGGATGAACTATAACCATCTCCTTAAGGGGTGTCTTGAGAGGCTTATTGTGACGCTCACGAATGTTACGGCCAAGATCAATCACGGTCATCATTCTTCTAACACTCTGCTCCATTCGTTCATCCCTCTTTCCTTCTGCTTTAGGAAAACTACAAAAGTGAATGCTTTCCTCTGACTCATTCAAAATTTTCCGCAAATTTTGATAAAGCACCTCGGTGAAGAATGGCGTTAATGGTGCCATCACTTTACAGGACACTAAGAGGACATTGTAAAGAGTTGAGAGTGCCATCCTACAATCTTCTTCACCAGTACGACCCTTTAGCCTCTTGCGATTGAACCGCACATAAATATTTGTCAAGTTGTCAAGAAACTTCAAAAGATATGGAACCACAGTGTAAAGTCGATAACCATTCATCTCTTGTTGGACAAAATACACAAGACTCTGTGTGGCTGAGTTGATCCACTGGTCTAGCACATTAGACGATTTTTGTACAGTGGCTAGATCAATAGGGAGGAAAGTGCCAAACCCTTCATCTTCAAGTCTCTTTGCATTCTGAACAAGGAACCTGTATGCATTGTACCAAGGAAGAAATACATCCTTGACCACACCAAAAACTCCTTCCTTCTTGAAACGTAATGTCTCCGCACGCACAACAGGAGAGTTGATGAGGTATAATCGTAGTGCATCAGCACCATAGTCATTAATAACCTCCATTGGTGAAGGATAGTTCTTCAAACTTTTACTCATTTTTTTTCCATCCTCAGCAAGGACAAGTCCATTGCAAATCAGGTTTCTAAAAGCAGGTTTCCCAAATAACGCAGTAGATAACACCATAAGAGTGTAGAACCACCCACGAGTCTGATCTAGCCCTTCCGCAACGAAATGCCCAGGAAAATTTTTCTCAAAAAGCTCAACATTCTCGAAAGGATAGTGGATATACGCATAAGGCATGGATCCACTCTCAAACCAGCAATCAAACACATCATCTATACGTCGAAGAACACCATGTTGCGGACCACGAGCAGATGGAATAGTGATATGATCGATATTGTGCCGGTGCAGATCAAAAACCTATTTAAATCGACATAAGAAATATTATTTTAGATTTGTAAATCACAAGGACAAAAAAAGAACTGTATTATTTTGGATTGTTGAATCACAAAACAACAACAACAACAAAGTCTTATCCCCCTAAGATTGAATCACGAAAAATAATAATTAATTAAACAGGACATTCAAACACCAAGGAATATTCCGCATGACATATAATTGCACAAAATAAAGTACACAGAGAGGAATCAAACCTTAACACCGGAAAGCTTTTCAAGCTTATCAATAGAATCGATGACTAGTATCTCCTCACCATCCTCACTAACCCACACAGGGAGAGGAGTTCCCCAAAACCTACTTCGACTAACGGCCCAATCTCTTGCATTTTCCAGCCAATTGTGGAAGCGCTTTTCCTTGACAAAGTCAGGAACCCAGTAAGTCTCTGTGTTATTTTCTAGCAATTTTTCTTTCAACTGCTCCACCCGGATAAACCAGCTTGGAACAGCTCTGTAGATAAGTGGAGTTTTGGATCTCCAGCAAAAGGGATAAGAATGAGTAAAAGTTCCGGACTTCACTAGCCTTCCTTTTGCCTGAGAAAATATGAAGAAATATATCAGAATAAAAGATACAAACCAACATACCATAAAGTAAGTACAGAAACAATCCATCACAAACAGGACACTTATTCCTACTTTCCACTCTCTTTTTCCTAAATTCTTTTCAACTAATGATGATAACAAGAAGAGCAACAATAGTAAATAGCATCAGAACGCATGAGACTACATATTATTTGATGTCAAAACATTAAGTTTAGAACATGAAGTTAAAACTGAACATTTATTTGAAACATAGAATGGTATGGCTCTATCTTTTCTTCTTATTGATTGGGAAGTTGCGCAAGTAAATCACCCCACTGTGGGGTGTGTGTGTGTGTGTGTGTGTGTTTGTGTTTGTGATTGTGTGCAGTCTCACTTGTACCTTCAGTGCTTCAATAATATCTTTGTCGGCATCCTTGACATAGAACCCGCTGAAATCAGTGATTCTTTCTGTAAAGCAGCCATCATCATCAACCGCTACAATCAAGTTGTCTCCCTTATTGATTACTTGGTTTTCAAGGCAAACACGATAATCATCCTCGCCAAAGGCAGGAGCACAATGAACAATACCAGTCCCACTATCATCAG